ATAAGGAGAGTGAGAGAGAGAGAAAGGGAAAGAGAGAGGTAGGGAGAAAGGTAAAGGGATTTAGAAAGGGAGGGAGAGAGGCAAAGAGGAAGAAGGAGAGAGAGAGAGAGAGCAAGGGAGATAGAGAAAGCATGGTGGAAATGGAAAAGGAGGGAGGGATTGAGAAAGAGAGCAAGGGAGATAGAGAGAGCATAAGGGAGATGGAAAGGGAGGGAAGAAAGGAGGGAGGGAGAAAATAGGAGGGAGGGAGAGAGGTTGAGGGAGTGAGAGAGGGAGAAGGAGAGGGAGAAAAAGTGGGAGACGAAATGAGAGAGGGAGGGAGAGGGCTTGAGGGAGAGGGAGAGAAGGAGAAAGAGGGAGAGAGGGAGAGTAAGAGAGGGAGAAAGTGAGGGAGAGAGAGGGAGAGAGAAGGGAGAAAGAGAGGAAGGAAGGAAATGTAAGAGAGGGAAAAAGGGAAAGAATGAGGGAGGGAAAGGGGTAATAGGGGAAGAGTGGGATAAAAGGAAAGAGAGGGAGAAAAAGAGATAGAGAGAGGAAGAGAGGGAAAGAGAAAGGGAGAGGTAGGGAAATGGGGGAAGAGAGCAGGAGGAGAAGGAGAATAGGTGTGGGAGAGAAGGAGAGAGAGGGGGAGGAAGGGGGAGGGTGAGGGAAAGAGATAGGGGAGGGAGTGAGGGAGGGAAAGGGAGAGAGAGGGAGAGGGTAATAGAGAGTGAGAGAAGAAGGGAGGGAGAGGAGAGAGAGAGTGAGGAAAAGGGCAAAGGAGAAAGAGATAAAGATATAGGGAGAGGGAGAGAGAGGGAGGAAGGGAGAGAAAGAAGGTAAGAAAGGGGGAGAGAGAGGGGAGAAAGGGAAGGAAAGAATGTGAAGGGGAGAGAGGGATAAAAGTTGAGATAAGGGGAGGGAGGGATAAAAGGAGAGGGTGAAAGGGAGAGAGGATAGAAGAGATTAGGAGACGGATGGGGAGAGAGGGGGAGAGAGAGAGAGAGCAAGTGGAGGAGGGAGAGAAAAGAGGAGGGAGGGAGGGAAAGGGATGGATAGATAGAAAGGAAAAAGGGAGAGAGAGTAGGGAGAGAAAGAGAGAAAGAGAGAGGGAGAGAAAGAGAAGAAGGGAGGAAGAAGGGAGAGAAAGTGACGGAGAAGGGGAAAGAGTGGGAGAGAGAGGGAGATAGAGAGGTTAAAGGGGAGAGAGAGAAAGAGAGAGAGAGATAGAGAGAGAGAAATGGAAGAAGGGAGAGGGAGCGAGAGGGATAAATACATAGAGAGGAAGAGGAAGAGAGAAACTGAGAAAGAGGGAGAGAATGAGGGGAAAAGAGAGGGTGGAGAGTTGGATGGAGAGAGGAAGACAAAGAGTGAGTGCTGGAGAGAGGGTGATAGAGGGAGAGAGGGGGACATGGAGGAAAGGGAATGAGATAGAGTGGGTTAAAGGGAGGGGGTTGAGAGAGAGGAGGGAAGATGAAGAGAGAGGAATATAGAGTGAGATACCAAAGGAAAGGGAGAAAGAGAAGAAGAGAGGGAGAGAGCAATAGAGGGAGAGAGGGTAAGGGAGAGAGTGGGAGAGAAGGAGAGGGAAGAGAAGGTCGGAAAGAATAGAAGAGAGAGTGGGAGAGGTAGAGAGAGGAGGGAGAGCAAGAGAGGGAAAAAGAGAGATAGAGAGGGAGAGAGAGGAAAAAGAGGGAGAGAGGGAGTGGGAGGGAGGGAGATATAGAGAAGGGGAAAGAGGGGAGAGAGTGAGAGAAAGATGTAGGGTTGGGGGGAGAGAGAGAATGAAAAAAAGGGTGGGGGAGAGGAAGAACAAGAGAAGGTGGAAGCAAGAGAGAGAAAGAGGGAAGGAGAGGGAGTGTAGGAGGGGGATCCAGAGAAAGAGAGGGAGGGAGAGAGCGAGAGAGACTATGATAGAGGGAAAAGGAGAGAGAGGTAGAGAAATATAGAGGAAGCGAGGGAGATGGAAATAGAGAAAGAGAGGGAGAGAAAAAAGAGGGAGAGAGGGGAGAAGGAGCAATAGAGAGTGGGAGAGAACGAGAAAGAAGGAGAGAGAGAGGACGAGTGATAGGTGGAGAGAGAGTGAAAGAGAGAGGGAGAGTAGGAGAGGGAGAAGGAGAGAGTGAAGGTGATTGGGAGGGAGAGAGGGAGAGGGAGAGAGTAGGATGGAGAAAGAGGGAGAGAGAAAGAGAGGGAGAGGGGGAGAGAGGAAGGGATAGAGAGAGGGAGAGAAGGGGATAGAGGGAGGAGGAGAGAGATAAAGATAGAGGGATAAAGAAAAGATGAGAGTGGGAGGGGAGAGAGAATGGAGGAGGATGAGATGGGGAGGGAGGGAGATAGAGAGAGGGAGAGTGGGATAGGGAGAGAGAGGTAGATTGAGAGATAAAGGGAGGGAGGGGGAGAGAGATGGGATGAGTAGAAGGGAGAGAGGGTGAGAGAGTGGGAGAGAGGGAGAAGGATAAAGCTAGAAGGAGAGAGAGAGAGGGAAGATAGAGTGAGGGAGAGAGGGTGAGAGAGTGGGAGAGAGGGTGAGAGATAAAGCTAGAAAGACGAGAGAGGGAGGGAGAGATAGAGTAAGGGAGAGAGGGAAAGAGGGAGAGGGAGAGGGAAAGAAGGAAGAGAGAAATATAGAGGCGGATAGATGGGAGTGGGGGGATAGAGAGAGGGAGAGAGAGCAAGTGAGAGTGAGTGAGAGAGGGAGAGATGGAGAAGGAGAGAACTAGAGAAAGGGAAAGGGAGAGAGGGGGAGAAAAGAGGGAAGAACAAAAGAGAACGATAACGAGGGGAGAGTGAGGGAGGAGAGAGCGAGAGAGAAAGAGAAAGTGAGAGAGAGATAGAGAGATAGAGAGGGAAGGACGGATAGATAGAGATGAAGGGAAAAGGAGGGAGAGAGAAAGAGAGAGATAGAGGGATGCGGCGAGAGAGAGGGATGCATGTATTAAATGACAAGTCATTGAGCTTAAGTCAATTAATGAATTAATCAAAATAATCTTAGTAGAAGATTAACATAATCTTAGTGGAAGATTATGTGTTTTGATTAATGCATGCATGCAAACTCCATCACTCAAGATATGTTAGTAGAAAGTGTAGAGAATTTATGCATGCATTATTTACATGTGTAATCAAAAAGTGTCTTGACTATTTCATGCATGAATGACATATGTCATAAAGGATGCATGTATGATTGACAAATTTCTTTATGAAAGACATTTGTTATCTCTCATGCATGCAAGTCTCTCCACCCAACATAAGTTAGTGGAGAGTGTAGAGAATTAAAAACATGCATGATTGACATTTGTCATGGAGGTTGCATACATGATTGACAAATGTCTTTGTGAAAGACATTTTTTATCTCTCATGCATGCAAGTCTCTCCACCCAACATAAGTTAGTGGAGAGTGTAGAGAATGGCAAGAAGAAGAAAAAGATGAGAGAATGGAGATAGTCTTGTATGGTCACTCATCTTAAACACTAAAAGGTGTTAGACACTTGATTTAAGCAAAAATAAAGATTAACTCTTAGACTACTTCAAGCTAGATTACTTGGGGAGCTAAAGATTAATTCTGGACATTTGAGAGACAAGATCATAGTAGCAAACCAAGTCATAGACCAAAGGCTCAATCGTGTACAGCTCGTGTGGACGGACTATAGGCTTCACAATGGGGAGCTGTAGGTCGAGAACAATCTTTGTGCTGCACTTCAAGAGGTATGAATTTAATTTGATGTTTTTATACCTTGCATGTGTGTTCTAAATATCCTTTAGTTGATTCTTGAGTTATGGTCTATGAGACATCTACTTGTGATGTGGTGAGATCACACCAATTATCTTGTTTTTATAATTTTTGAAATTCCACACTTTCGTTGCCCCCCTTCCCATTCCTTTCAAGTGGTATCAAAGCCACCTAAATGATATTTAGAATCCATGTTTGTGTTGTCCATATTGTGATTATTTTTATGGCTAATGGTTAGATTGATTGTTTTTTGATTGGATAAAAAACGTGCATGTTGTTTTTCAAGTCGGTTTGGATTATGGCGAGCTTGTGGTAAAAACATCATAACTTTTAAACGGTTATTTAGAATTGAGTGAATTTTTTTTCAAATGAAACTAAAATTTTTTATCTTTCTATCATAACTTGAATTGCTTAAAAATAAATTTTCTAGGGATAGTTATGCTAGTTCTAACTCATTGCCTAGGCGAGCATTGATTCTGGATAGCTTCTCTTTTCAACAATTTTGATTGTTTTAAGATTTTTATTCAAGTTTCAACAATTTTTATGTTCTCTAGAATATGTGATATTCTAGAATATTTATTTTAATTATGCCATAATTAGAATAATAACAATTAGTCTAAGTTTACTTGAATATGTGATATTTGAATAGTTTATGGAATCGTTCCATAGTTAACATAAACTATAATATGTTTGCATGAGTTGTTTAAATTTATATTTTGTGTTGAATGAATGATTAGCAAGATGGATGATCATGGACTTAGGAAACCAATTTGTGATTGTATTAAGTGGGAATGTAATAATTAATTTTAAGGTGTTGTTATATTTTCTATTGAGCCTATTGAGCTCTTTGGTTTGTAATCTCACCTTAGTATGCCAAGGATGTTTATTTACTTATGAAGACATGGACAAGCAAGATCAAAGGAGATTCAACCCATCATAATGGCTAGTGGGAGCATGAAGTTCAAGAGTTGAAGAGTGAGGTGTTCACTATTCGGTTAAAACTGAAATACCAAACCGAACCGAACCGAATTAACAATTTCGGTTCGTTTTTTTTTTAAATATAATAAAAAACCAAACCGAAAAACCGAAATTATTTCGGTTCGGTTCGGTTTTTTAAAACCCATTCGGTTTCCACCGGAAACCGAATTTTAAGCAAAATTAAATTTTAACTTACAAAAGTCAAAAGTAACAAAAGTAAAGTTGCAAAGAATCATAATACTAAAAGTCTAAAACCCTAACTCTCGTCCGTCTCCCACTCTCCCTAAGTTCTTACTCTTTCCCGACTCTTGAGTTCTCGCTTGCTTGTTGGTTGGATGGTTCTCGCTTCTTTGTTGGTCGGTTCTTTGCTCGCTGTCGGTTGGCTGGTTCGTTGCTTGCTTGCTTCCATCAAAGTTCAAACTTCATCCTTCTCTTTTAGACTTTCACAATCGGTGCTTCACGCCTTCATTGCTTCGGTGCTTCCGGACTTCTAGTTCCGACCAACAAAACTCAAAAGGTTAATTTTTCTTTTGTGGTTAAATGCTAGACTTTTGATTAATTTTATTTTTTTCCTGAATCATTTATAAATTTGTGTAATTAAAATGAAACCATTGGGTTGTTGATGGGTTTAATGCTTTGGGTCCTGCAACTTCTTTTATTGTTGAAGTTTATATGATTCTGTCTCTTTTTCATTCGAAACCTAATATGACTATATGAGAAGTTAGTAATTGACTATATAGTATTTGCTTTTAGGTTTTCATGAGTAAGACTTTTGATTTTTTTTTCATTTGGGAATTGAGATTAGAGAGTAGGGTGGCCACTGGCCTACGGGCACAGGCCAGTAGGCCTACTGCCCTGCGGGCACAGTGCAGTAGGCCTACTGGCTAGACGCATGGCCAATAGGCCTACTGGCCTGCGGGTGGCCAGTGGCCACTGGCCTACGGGCACAGGCCAGTAGGCCTACTGGCCAGCCGCATGGCCAATAGGCCTCTTGGCCTGCGGGAGGCCAGCGGCCAATGGCATAGGGGCACAGGCCAGTAGGCCTGCGGGTGGCCAGCGGGCACAGGCCAGTAGGCCTACTGGCCTGCGAGCACAGGCCAATAGGCCTATAGTCGGCCGATTGACGAGTGGACACTACCCACTTGTTTTAACTTTTAAAATTTAAATTTTTAATACTATAAACTTGTATTTAATAATCATTTCTAATGAAATATATTCTTGAATTTGTGTAGATGTTAGGATCCTCGGATGCTGAAGTTGCGAGTTCAACTCATCCAAAACTTGGTCCAACAATAGATACGAGTTGTTGTTGGCTCTTCATCAAACACATAAGTGAGCGAGAAAGATGAAGAGAAAAGCAATGAGGCCAAGGTCACTTGTATGGGACCATTTCACAAAGTTTGAAGATGAAAATAAAGACATCAAGGGGAGATGTAATTACCGTGATAAGGTACTTACCGATCATCCTACTAGAAATGGTACTACCGCACATAAATCTCATATGGCCATATGCAAAAAACACCCACATAGACTTGACCTTACCTAATTAAAATTGAACCTTCAATCTAATTCAAGTGTTCAAATGGGAGAAAGCACTCTTAGCACATAGAAGTTTGATCAAACTTGCATTAGAAATGCTTTAGCTTACATGATTATTGTGGATGAACTTCCTTTTAAATTTGTCGAGAATGTGGGGTTTAAGTGGTTTATGTCAATTGCACAACCTAGGTTTAAAATTCCATCACGGGTTACCATTTTAAGAGATTGCTATCAACTTTATATGTATGAGAAATTAAAGTTGAACCAATTTTTGAAAAATAATTGTCAAAGAGTTTGTCTTACTACGGACACATGGACGTCTATTCAAAGAATTAATTATATGTGTCTAACGACTCATTTTATTGACAATGATTGGAAGTTGCATAAAAAGATTCTAAATTTTTGTCCGGTTGATGGTCATAAGGGTATTGATTTGGGTAGTGCTATTGAAAAGTGTTTGATTGAATGGGGAATTGAAAAAGTTTTCACTATTACCGTAGACAATGCAAGTTCAAATGATGTGACGATTAGATATTTGAGAGATGTTTTAAATAATTGGGGTAATAGCATCTTAGATAGGGAATTACATCATATAAGGTGTATGGCTCATATTTTGAATCTTGTTGTTTCGATGGGTTAAAAAATGCAAATCCTTCGATCCTTCGTGTTCGAGCAAGTTGTGAGGTATATTAGACAATCTCCCGCTAGGTTGAGAAAATTTAACAAATGCATCGAGATTTAAAAGATTGATTCTAAAAGTTTGTTACATCTAGATGTTTCAACTAGATGGAATTCAACTTATTTGATGTTAGATTCAGCTCAAAAGTTTGAGAGAGCATTTAAGAGATATGAGCAAATTGATCATTTATATAGTATGGAACTTAATGTGGATCTTGGTGATGGGGCATTTGGGCCACCTAGTGTCGGAGATTGGAGGACTTGTAGGAAAATGGTGACAATATTGAAAAATTTCTATGACCTTACTTTGTCTATTTTGGGTCATTCATATGTCACTTCTAATAATTATTTTGATGAAATTTGTACGCTTGAAGCTGATTTGAGAGAATGGCAAGAGTGTGTCGATGAGGATACTTGTTCAATGGCTAGTAAAATGAGAGAAAAATTTGATAAGTATTGGGGGAATATGAAGAAAATGAATAAGTTGATTTATATTGGAGCCGTGCTTGATCCAACACATAAAATTATTTATGTTGCATTTACATTAAATGAATTGCATGGTGATTGCCTTGGAGAAAAGATGACAAATGATGTGAAAGAATGTACATATGCCTTATATGCTTCATATTGCAATTTATCACCAAATCAAGGTCTTAGTGGTCAAAGTAATGGGATTACGAAGCTTCAAGTGTAAGTGATGGAATGGTCCGAATGGACACCAATCATGCCATACGGAAAAAAACAAGACACTTGCGAGGATGTCATGATTTCAAAAATTCAATGAAAGTGAAGATGGAGATAAAAGATCAGATTTGGATAAGTATCTTCATGAATCTGTTGAAATTGGAGATGAAAATTTTAATATTTTGGAGTGGTGGAAAAACAATTCTCTTCGGTTTCCTATCCTTTAAAAAATGGCTCGTGATGTGTTGGTTGTTCCAATATCTATTGTTCCTTCGGAATCAGCATTTAGCACTGGAGGAAGAGTTCTCGATGCCTTTAGGAGTTCTTTAACTCCTAGCATTGTGCAAGCTCTTGTATGTGCTCAAGATTGGCTTCAAAATTCGATGCCAATTACTACCGAAGAAGATTTGCAAGATGTTGAGAAACTTGAAGCCGGTAAGTTTTTCAATTCTTATATTTTTATTTATCTTTTTTCCTTCCAAATTAATATTAAAGACCTAAAGTGTTGATTTTTTTTTCAGATTTATTAAAACTATCAACGGATGCACCTATGATAGATATATGATGAATGGTCGGAATGGATGGTGGTTTGATCTTTTAAGTGACATGGGTAAATTTCTAATGAATTATGTTTGTGTGTGTCCATGTATGTTTGTAAATGCCTTTATATTTATAGAATTGACATTTTTTTTCTTTTCTTTGTAGAATTTGTCATTTAGTGAACCTTTTGCTTGAAGCCTTGAACTTGTCTATTTGTGGAATTGTGGTTATGAGTTGTGACTTATTGGAGTTTTTTGAATTATTTTACTTGGCAAGTTATTAGTGACTTAGTTTTGTATTGTTGGCTTCTTATTGTTGCTTTCTTATTGTTGGTTTGTTGCTTTTACTTTTATAAATTACTTATGTTACTTGTTAATTTGAGAATGTTGAATACTTGAATTATTGTTTTTAACTTTTTATTTTATTGCATACTTGAAATTGAATTGTTGTTTGACATTTTTTCTTTTTCATTATTAAAGTATAGAGAATAGTGTAGCATTGTAGTCTATTTAAAATTTGGATGGGGTCTATGTGTTATTATGGCTTGTCATTAAAAAAGTTGATCTTTGAATTAATGTTGAGATCATGAAATCGATGCAATTTTAATTAAGTTATCAATCGAATCAACATATAATATTGAGTATTAATTAAAGGTGAAAACCGAATTACCGAATAAAAAACCGATATATTTCAAAACCGAATTGAAAAACCGAATAATAATTCGGTTTAGTTTCGGTTATTTTTTAGACAATTCGATTAACCAAAAGCTGATAAAAAAATTCGAAACCGAACTAAATTACCGAACGAACACGCCTATTGAATAGCATGTTTGTAAAATTAACCCTAACCCCCACCCTATTCCTTGTGGCTAGGAATTGGGTCCATAGATAGTCCATGATCATACCTTTTACATTATCTATGCATATATGTGATGTATGTGATGTGTATGAGATGCTTATGATAAAATGGATAATGTGCAAAGTGAGACCTAATAATAATAAGTCCAAAAAAAAGGAAATCTTCCAACAAAGAATTAAGTCTAGGCTCTCCATTGAAACAATAATTTTAAAAGTTTTAAACAAAATGTTTAAGAGATCTTCTAGTCATTATTGTTAAGCATGAGATGTAGTAGACTTATGGATACATTATTTACCGGGAACGACATTATGAACTCCGAGGTTTCTAATGTTCAAAGCCATTTATTTACTTGGTTCAATGGTTAATGGACTTAACTAGTATAAAGGGCTAAGAACGACATTGTGAACCTAAGGTCCATAGCATTAGGAGCTAGATTCATTAAACCTCACATGAGATGTGATGAACAAGAGTTGTTCACTCATAAGATATTAATGTTCTAAGAATGGCATTATGAACTCGAGGGATTTTAATATTTTTATGAGAATATTAATAACTTACTAGAAGTTCTCCAACGAGCTTCCGTTTTCTACTTAGAAGTGTAGAATTCGCCAAATTAGTGAAGGACCATATTTGATTAAAGACCAGATCATTATGGTAATTACTTATCATGTAAACTAATTAATCTTGTTAATTTCTATAAATTATCTTTGAAAATGAAACCCACCAACCCACTCGCAAGCATACTTGATGCTAACAGGCTCACGAGCCTAACTTTTTGAACTAGTTAAGAAACCTTAAAATAGTCCTTGCTTCGGAGCGCATATCATATGTGTTCGACACACCAATTCCCGACCATTTACCCGAAGGGTCTCCGATGAGGAATGGGATACACTTAAGAAGTGGAAGCTTGATGATTTGCAAGTAAAGTGCTACATGCTTGCTTCTATGACCAATGAGTTACGGAGGCAACATGAAAAGATGAATGATTCCCATTCTATTCTTCTTCACTTACAAAAGTTGTATGGTGAGCATAAAAGAATTGCTAGATATGAGATATCAAAGCGAGTTATTTTGTTCAAAGATGCATGAGGGTACCGATGTTGGAGTTCATGTCCAAAAGATGATAAGTGCTATTGAGCAACTAGAAGGTCTAGACTTAATTATGGACTACAACCTTCAAACGAATTTGATCCTTCACTCCCTTCTTGAATCTTTCTCTCAATTTGTTATGAATTTTCACATGAATAAATTAGAATGCACGCTTGCTGAGTTATTAAACATGTTAATAACAGACTCAAAAATCTATGATAAAAAGGAAAGAGGTTATTCGTTGTTGCCTTTTCTTCTAGTAAGACTAAGAAGAAGAAAAAGAAAGGAAAGGCTTCCAACCTCGAGCCCAAAGGTAAGATATCCAAGGACAAGGCCAAAAAGAAAGTCGATGAGGGCAAAGGAAATTGTTTCCATTGTCAACAAGTTAGACATTGGAAGTGTAATTGCTTAAAGTACTTGGAGTCTTTAAAGGGCAAGGCAAAGGACAAGCCTTCGAAGGTATGTCTTTATCATGTTACTTAAGTTCCATTAGTTCAAGTGGTTCATCAAATGCTTGGATTCTTGATATGGGTGCAAGTTCTCATATTTGTGCCTATATGTAGGAACTAGCAAGTAGTGAGAGCTTGGAGAAGGATGAGGTAACCCTAAAGCTTGGAGATGGAGCAGGTGTTTCTACCAAGGCTATTGGATCAACCTCTATTGATCTTAATGATCATGTTTTGCCATTAAAAGATATTTTGTATTTACCTAATGCTTTTAAGAACATTATCTCTATTTCTAGTATGACTAAGAGGGGTTATGAATTCCTCTTTAAAAGAGATGTTTGTTTAATTTATTATGATGATAATATTATTGGCAAAGGTTATATGCTTGATGGTCTTTATTAGTTGGATAATAACAATAATAAAACAACTCCGAGTGGATATGAAGTAAATGCTATGATAATGAACAATTATAATAAAAAACATCTTTAGCACTTGAGACTAGGTCATATTGCGTA